ATTACCTTTCAGTTTTAAACCAATAATGGTTAATTTATTGGTTTTCATTACCTTTCAGTTTTAAACCAATAATGGTTAATTTATTGGTTTTCATTACCTTTCAGTTTTAAACCAATAATGGTTAATTTATTGGTTTTCATTACCTTTCAGTTATGAAAACCAATTACAACTTTTAAAAGGTTATGGTCCCTATTCCTTCCTAAGGTGAAAAATAAGAATACTGTTTAGTTTTTCTAAATCCTCTCAAGGAGAAACATAAGGCACCAAAGGGAAAGGATTAGAAGGCTTTAACAAAGTCAACATCAAAGGTTTTATTGACAATCAGACGCTTCCGTTTAACCGTTCATCGATGGATTCGGGTAAGTTTTAGTCTTGTTTTCTTGATGATATACATGGTAGATGATCCGAAACATGAAGTTTCATGTTCTGAAATTTATGTTTACAACCCAAGCTCTCCACCAAGCACAACTCAGAAGCATCAAGGCTTAGGCACATTTTTATCTGCTGCATGTTACAGATGATGTCCTGAACTGAATAAGAACACCCAGCGATCACATTCTCTTCATGGTGCCATATGCCGTCAAGACATCAATGACTAATCGACTATATGTCTTCCAACTGCCAGACATTGCATTTAATCCCCGATATCTGCCGATCGGCGTAGTTTTTCTTTTCTTCTCAGTGAGTCCCGTTAGTGCATGTGCACCTTTCCTGGTTCTTGTTCCGCCAGTCCTTCCCTTGTTACCTCTTCTGCTGGGCTCTTAGCCATGGCCCTGATTTTAGTTTGTTAATTTTTACCCACCACAAAAAGGAAAATAAGACAGTTGAACAGAGTGATCAAAGGACGCCTATCCCATATTTCTCTTCTCTTTTACTTTGTATCATCCAACTTCATTTTTCTCCTCCTCTAGAAGCTTAGTTTTCTTTCTTACTCTCTCAGTACAACACAACACTCATGTTTTAGTCTTCTCATTGTAGAAGATTGGCTCAGATTTTCAACGATGGCTACTGATTGATGGCTGCCATAAATGTTAGTGGTGGTTACCATAAATGATAGTGGTTGCCATAAATGCTCCATTTTATCTATAAATGGTTAGTGAATGGGAGAGGGTCAGTGCGGTGAGTTAAAGAGAGAATATAGAGCAGAGAGAAAGAGAATTACAGAGTGTGTAATACTTTGTTCCAAATATAGTGAAATCCACTGCCCGTGGACGTAGGCGATTTTTCGAACCACGTAAATCTTTGTGTTCTTACTTGTGTATTTGTGTGTGATTGTTTTCTGCTTCCTAGGCACAACAAATTGGTATCAGAGCATTGTTGTGCGAAAAAATAGAGTGTTTTTCTGTAAACTGAAAATTTCGAAGTTATCGAAATCGAGTTTTCAGCATACCACGACGACCGCCTTGACGAGAGGAGTTCAGACCCAGAAAGACCAACCCACGAGAACACTTCATGCGCCCTCACGCGCTTGCCGAAGTTCTGCCAGAGACATGCCAAAAAGTTCAGTCCGGCGAAGAAGCAAAGGTTGAAGAAGTCAACCTATCCTAAAGGCTTTAAGTATGAACTCAAGTTCATACTTGGTGGAGTGGTTAGAGCCTATGGTTTGAAGCATTGAGATCAAGGGTTCAAAACCCTTCCCAAACAAATTTCCAATTTATTTTTGGAAGCTACCACATCAGCGCCAGGTGTTAGCCAGCTCAACTGCTACAACAGTGACACACCTGCTACGTCAGCGTCCCACTCATCACTGCCACGTGTCGAGACACGTCATCGCCAACTCAACTGCCACGTCAACGCCACATTAGCAGATCTGTCACGTCATCAATCCCAGTCAGCCAAACTTTTTGAAATTGCAAGGAGGCCCCTAAAAGTTTAGTAAATTGCATTTCAGCCCCTAATCTTGCTAAAATTACAATTTAGCCCTTGGAAATTCTATTAATTGCAGTAAGGTCCCCAGAGTTTTGGGAAATTATAATTTGGCCCCTAGATTTGGAGAAATTTCATTGAGGTCCCTGGAGAGGTGGAGAAAGTGCTTTCCTAGCTAAATCAACCATTCCGGACACAACCGCGGATTCCGTTTTTTGAGATTCGGACCCAAATTTTTAGTGAAGTTTTCGGGAGCTTAGAATTTGCCGTGTTCCGGGTATTTCAAGCGTCCGTTATTGTTTGTGGTGGAGATTATTGAGCAGTCTCAATGGCAGAATCTACAGAGACGAGATCAATCGAGTCCACAAGTAACCCGGCGACTACAAGCAACTCTAGGCATTGGACCCCAGTGTCCCATGCTAAGTTCGAGGTAGAAAAGTTTGATGGAAGCAGCAACTTCGGCATGTGGAGATACAAAGTTAAAGATATGCTTCTCCAGATGAACCTGCACTTCACTCTGGGAGACAAACCAGATGACTTGGATGAGATAGAATAGGAGAAAGTGAATCTTCTGGCCTACAGTTCTATCCGACTGTGCCTTGCAAAAGAGGAGAAGTACGCATTCACAGAATATGATATTGCAAAGGAGCTTTGGAAGGCGCTGGAAGACAAGTTCATGACAAAGAACATTGAGAACCGGCTCTACATGAAGAATAGGTTGTTTCGTTTCGACTACAAGAAAGGTATTTCGATGAACGAACACCTGAACAATTTTAACAAAATTCTTGCCGATTTGAAAAACCTGGATGTTCAAATTGATGATGAAGATAAAGCACTGTTATTGTTAAATTCCTTGCCTGACACATATGACCATCTCACCACTACTTTACTGTATGGTAAAGAAAAGATCAAGTATGTTGATGTTTCAAATGCCTTGGTAAATAATGAGTTCAGAAGGAAAGATAAGTCTGCAAACAGGGATTCAGCATCAGAGGCATTGACAGTTAGAGGCAGGACGAATAACAGAAGATATACAGGGCGGAGAAAGTCTCTCTCAAAATCCATAGGTAGATCATCAGATAGAAGACGTCTTGCAAAAGATGAGTGTGCTGCATGTCGCCAGAAGGGGTATTGGGCAAAAGATTGTCCCAATAAAGGCAAGAAAGAGGAAAATGTGAACGTTGCACGAGATGGAGATAGTGGTGAAGGATCAACCTTCACAATTTCATCACTTGGCCAGTCTGCTGAATGGATTCTAGATTCCGGATGTTCCTACCACATGTGTCCTAACAAGCAGTGGTTCTCGAGCTTACGAGAGTTCGACGGAGGAGTTGTGTTAATGGGCAATGACCAAGCTTGCAGAATGAAGGGGATTGGAACAATTTGACTGAAGATGCATGATGGAACAATCAAAATTCTCGAAGATGTTCGGTACGTACCAGATTTGACGAAGAATCTCATCTCAGTGGGAGTTTTAGATTCCAAAGGTTATAGGCTAACTGTGGAAGGTGGAGTCCTCAAAGTTATTAGAGGAGCTTTTGCTGCAATGAAGGGTACTCGGAAGGGAAATTTATATTTCCTAGACGGCTCTACAGTCACAGGGAGAGTGGCTGTCTCCACCAGCTCAGAGGATGATGCATGAGACACTTCCAGACTTTGGCACATGCGTTTAGGGCATACTAGAGAAAAGGCTTTACAAGGGTTAGTAAAGCAAGGCCTGTTGAAAGGCGCCAAAACAGGAAAGCTTGAGTTCTGCGAGCATTGTGTACTGGGCAAGCAAACAAGAATTAAGTTTGGTACTACAATTCATCGTACCAAGGGGATTTTAGACTACGTTCACACCGATGTATGGAGTCCTTCCAAGAATGCTTCTTTGGGAGGTAAACACTACTTTGTGTCATTCATTGATGATTTCTCAAGGAGAGTTTGGGTTTACACAATGAAGCATAAAGATGAGGTATTAGACATCTTTCTTATATGGAAGAAAATGATTGAGACCTAGACAGACAGAAAGATCAAGAAGCTCAGATCTGACAATGGCGGCGAATACACATCAGATCCCTTCTTTGAGGTTTGCCGGAATGAAGAGATAGTGAGACATTTCACAGTTAGTGGAACGCCACAGCAAAATGGAGTTGCAGAACGCATGAACCGCACTTTGGTAGAGAAAGTCTGGTGTATGCTGTCACATTCTGGATTGAGCAAGGCATTTTGGGGCTCAGCATTGAACTATGCTCGTCATCTTGTTAACCGACTACCTACTGCAACACTTGATGGCAAGACTCCCATGGAGGTATGGTCAGGAGCGCCAGCTACTGACTATGATCAGCTGCGTATCTTTGGATGTCCAGCTTATTTTCATGTTACAGAATCTAAGTTGGATCCTAGAGCCAAGAAAACTATCTTCTTGGGCTTCAGTGACGGTGTCAAGGGATATAGACTCTAGTGCCCTGAATCAAAGAAAGTTGTCACTAGAAGAGACGTTACCTTTGATGAGTCTACAATGCTAAAGCAGCTAAATCCTCAAGAGAATGAGGAAGCATTCAAGAAGTCAGTGCAGGTGGAGTTTAAGACTCCAGCGAAGACTGTTCAGATAGACAACAATCCTGAAGAAGTTTCAGTTGACAGCTCTGAAGAAGATTCTGAAGAGAGCTCAGATGAAAATGAAGATCCAGAGGCCCAACAACAGTCAGAACCCATTGCAAGTAGAAAAGGAAAAAGAGTTACTAAGCAACCCAGTTGGATGATATGGTGGCCTATGCACTTCCAATCATTGAAGATAATATTCCTTGCACTTTCAAAGAAGCTATGCAGAATCCAGAAAGTGTCAAATTGAAGGAGGCTATGGATGAAGAGATCAGGTCACTTCACAAGAACCAGACTTGGGAGTTGGTGCAAGTTCCAAAAGGCAAGAAAGCAATTGGGTGTAATTAGGTTTACACCAAGAAGGCAGGCATCCCAAGTAAAGACAACATCAGATTCAAAGCTAGATTGGTAGCTAAAGGCTATGCCCAGAAGGAAGGGATAGACTACAATGAGGTATTCTCACCTGTTATGATGCACACGTTTATTTGTATCTTGCTAGCATTGGTTGCACAGTTTGATCTCGAGCTCGCTCAACTCGATGTCAAAACTGCCTTCTTACATGGAGATCTTGAAGAGGAGATATACATGTCCCAACCAGATGGTTTCGAAGTTGCTGGAAAAGAGGATTGGGCTTGCAAATTAAAGAAATCGTTGCATGGGTTAAAGCAGTCTCCGAGACAGTGGTACAAGCAATTTGATCAGTTCATGATGGAAAAGAAATACACAAGAAGTCAGTACGATCATTGTGTATATTTTCGTAAGCTTTCCGATGGTTCCTTCATCTATTTTCTCTTATATCTAGATGATATGCTGATTGCATCTAAGAGCAAGGTGGAGATTGATAAACTCAAGGCACAGTTGGTAGGAGAGTTTGAAATGAAGGATCTTGGTGAAATAAAGAAAATTCTTGGCATGGAGATCAAAAGAGACAGGAAGAAGGGCACGGTTTGTCTGACACAAACCCAGTATCTGAAAAAGGTGTTAGACAGATTTGGCATAAATGGGAAAACAAAAGCTGTGAGTACATCATTGGGCCCTCATCCCAAGCTTAGTGCTTTAATGTCTCCACGCACAGAAGAAGAACAAAAGCATATGGCACATGTTCCATATGCAAATGCAGTTGGTGCATTAATGTATGCTATGGTTTGTACAAGGCCTGGCATTTCACATGCTGTAAGTATGGTAAGTAGATATATGCATAATCCAGGAAAAGGTCATTGGTAGGCAGTGAAATGGATCTTGAGGTACTTACATGGCACAGTTAATATAGGTTTGAAGTTTGAGAGAGATCATGGACTCGAACAGAATCTAGTTGGATATGTGGACTCAGATTATGCTGGTGACTTAGACAAACGCCGGTCAATAACAGGGTATTTATTTACGCTTACTAAAGGGCTGGTGAGTTGGAGGTCAACGCTTCAGTCAACGCTTTAGTCAACGGTGGCTTTGTCTACTATAGAGGCAGAGTACATGGCAGTGACAGAAGCCTTTAAGGAAGCTATTTGGCTACATGGGTTGATTGAGGACTTGGGTATTGTTCAGAAGCACGTTGAGGTGTACTGCAATAGTCAGAGTGCCATTTGTTTGGCAAAGAACCAAGTTCATCATTCCCGCACCAAGCACATTGATGTCCATTTCCATTTCGTCCGGGAAATTGTGAATGAAAGGGGATATTCTGCTTCAAAAGATTAGCACTGCAGACAATCCGGCCGATATGCTCACAAAAGTGGTTTCTAGGATCAAGTTCCAACACTGTTTGGACTTGGTCAACATCTCTCAGAACTGAGCACCTTCGGTTGCATGGCAGTGTTGATCGATCACTATGTTGGATAGAGAATCCTCGCCAATGTGGAGATTTGTTGAAAATTGGCTCAAATTTTCAACGATGACTGCTGATTGATGGCTGCCATAAATGTTGGTGGTTGCCATAAATGCTCCATTTTATCTATAAATGGTTAGTGAATGGGAGAGGGTCAGTCTGATGAGTTAAAGAGAGAATACAAAGCAGAGAGGGAGAGAGAGAGAGAGAATTACAGAGTGTGTAATACTTTGTTCCAAATATAGTGAAATCCGCTGCCCGTGGACGTAGGCGATTTGCCGAACCAGGTAAATCTTTGTGTGTTCTTACTTGTGTATTTGTGTGTGATTGTTTTCTGCTTCCTAGGCACAACACTCCTACCCTTCTTTTTTCTTTCTTTTATTTCTTTCTTTTAGAAACATTTTGTATTCTTTTTTTCGAATCTGCTTTCCTTTGTGTATACTTCATTTGTGATTACCTAGTCCTTCCTATTTAGTTCTACTTGTCTAAAGTTAAATGTTTTTTTTGTTTCATGATTGTCAGTATCATTCTTAATTTCATTTTGTTAATTCTCTCAGTTATTCTACATTTGACTCTATTGACATAAATTGTTCCATTCCATCTAAATTCTGGTTACTTTCATCACCTATTGTTCGAAGGAATACTATCTTCAAACCCGCAATCTCTATGTAAATTCTATACCCAAGTCACATTTATAAATCTGATTTTCCTTCCTGTTAGGTGTACTCTCAAGCTTAATACAAATCATCAATCAGTAAAATTTCAGGTGTGGTCTGAGAGTCATATTGTCTTTTTCATGAGATTGCAAAGTATAAAAATTCAACATTCATTGAAATTTAAATCAGAATGCTAGCTCTTTTTATCAACTCCATTATCCATAGATTAGAGTTTGAGAAATATAGCATCATGTCAATCCAAATATGTAGATTTAAAATTTGAAATTTGAATACTTCTAAAACTATCAGGTTGGTAAGCTATAGGATCCATATAAACGTTCTGAAGCAGATTCTCTTGTTTGCTACACACTTTGGACATCCATGGAATCAAACCAGTGTCATTTTGTGTTGCTCAGTATTTGAAGGCAAAAAGTATTTATTCAGAATAGGACCATTGTAGAGAAAATTTAAGCCAGCTCCAGCTTACAAGGATTAGGGATGGCAATAGGGCAGGAAGGAGCAAGGCGAAGAAAGGTTTGTAGGTATTAGGATCCTCTGAAGTATTGCCCCTGAAGTGTGTTGATCCAATGGCTGAGAATGTAACTAACCAAAACGACGTCGTTTTGGTTAGTAATTTCAAAAAAAAAAAAAATTGAGTTGATTCAAAATTCCCTCAGATCTGTGATTAATTTAAATTCGGATTTGAACTTCGCCTTTTGGAGAGAGAGAGAGAGAGAGAGAGAGAGAGAGAAGGGCTGAGAGAAGGAGCTTCCGATCCACCCCTGACTCACCGCTGCATGCCGCTGCCGCTGCCCCGCCATACTCCAACAGATTGAAGGAAAAGAGCACAAGTTTGTTCATCCTCCAAAGTTAAAATATTAGGGCTTTGAATCCAAAAACTAGGAAAAATCTGAAGTTGGTACACTCTGTCATTGTAAATGTGATCATGATGTTTATACAAGAATCTTTGTGTATGTAGTGTTTTGTTAATCCAAGGTTGAATCTATGGTGACGTTTCAAATCTAATGAATATTTACGAATCTTAGTTCTTCATGTTCTTCCATACAATTTTTTATTTTATTTTATTTTATTTTAATCCATACAATTTTTTATTTTATTTTATTTTATTTTAATTTCTGTTCTCTGTTTGCTTTTAGTTTAATTTTACTTGGCCTTTGGAATTTTGTTTTTTGAGATATGGTTAAAAAAAAATTTGAATTTCATATAGTATCTAACATTGGGGGAAGGGAAATGTTTTGGTAGGTCAAAATTTTCAATTGTAGTACAAAAACCGTATTGGAAAATTCTGGAATAGAACAATGATTTGTGAGAAATTTAACAAACTTATGTGTGAATTAGAAATTGAAAGCCTTATTTTTGGTGTTTTTGGTGAACTAGGTATATTTTATTCTTCAATTTGCAATTGGATCTTTGTGGGTATGATGATGATAGTTGTTACAGGGCTAATCTTTTAATTTACCTCTCATTCTATTGAGGCTTTGGAATTCCCTAGACATATTGGAATTTAGAGTCTGAAAAAATATTTCCTCTTTCACATCATTTGCTACTTTGAGATGACAAAAAGTGTGTACATATTTCGTGTATTTGTTAAGGAAAAAAGATTTGATAACTTATTGTTCAAGGGGACAACTCAAATTTAAATTTGGTTGTTGATTGACTTTGAGAGTTTTGTTGTGACTCATGATAAATTATAATGGATTTGAAATAACAATGCACATATTCTAATTGGGTAAAATCATAGGAAAATACTTATCTTCTAACTCAAATCTTTCTTCCCCATTAGTGTTTTCAATCTATCAATAATAATCAACTCTCCTACATTTTTAGAAAAGTTTAATCCTGATAATGCCTACTTATTCTAAAGGGTTCATGCACATATTGTAAAGGGTTCATGCATACTTATTCTGATAATGCCTTTCATAAATCAAAACAACATATTTACCATATCTAAACATTTCATACCAATAAGAAATATATATCAAAATCCACTGATCAAAGTTGGTTGTAGACTTTGATTTTTTTTTTCTCCCCAAAACTGATTACTTAATGCTCGATATTAGTTTTGCAAGTTATGGCCAAAACTATTTTATAGATGAGACTTCAACTTATGGACAAATCATTGGATCACAATACCACACAGAGCATGACTGAATATTTATAAATTCTCTACTCCCATTACCCATTTCATGTACTTATTTACCTTTATAGATGGCAGGATTCACTCCCATTACCCATTTCATGTGATTTAGAATTTGAGTCCTACTCATTTTTGTTCCATTTGTTATGTTAAGTAAAAAAATGTCAACATCAAATGTATCTATGACTGATATTAGCGAAATTCAGTTTAGAAATCAAAAATGTCGTTGCGAGGTGAGAGCAGCATTCAAGATTTCAGAGTCAAAGGACAATCCGGGGATGGTATACTTTGCTTGCCCTTCAAACAACACCAATGGATGCGGCTTCTTTCAGTGGTGGATGCCTGTACATAAACAGCGTCAATGGTTGAAGATGATAAGGGAGGAAAGCGACGACAATTGTAATATCAACCCTTTGGTCAACGAAGTGATTGTATCTAATGATGAGCTGAAAGAGATAGTTACAAAGCTTACGAAAGAAAGTAAACAAATGTTATAGAGATTAGACAACTTCGGAAAAAGTTGCACTACGCCATTGTAATAGTGTTATTTGGATTTGGACTTCTTTTGTTGTTTAAAAAGTAAGTATAATTTAAATTCGGATTTGAACTTCGCCTTTTGTGAACTAAATATTATGTGTAAATGAACTTGATTGTTGACGTCTTTTGTTTGTTTGGATTGTTGGTATGGTATGTTACTGCTTTTTGTGCTTCTAGTTTATGTTGTTATTGAAGATATGAAAGACAATGGTCCATGTATACATATATAGACTTCCATGGACTATTGCCATTCGTTTACTTTGATGTAAATCAGGACACTCCAATGATCTATATCCTCATGTGATGCTCAGATTTGTGTCCCACTCAATTTCAGACCATTGTTATGACCAAACATGTATTTTCAGATTTTAGGAAATTCAAATGGAATAATGTTTTATTCAAATTGAAGGGTTATAATGATTGAGCAACATATCAGCACATATTTGATTGAGCAACATATCAGCACATATTTGGTTTATTTGGTTTACATATCAACACATATCAACATATCAGCCCAAATAAACTTATTTTTTGCTGATATCAAACTAGAATGAGATTCCCATGATATGTTTTTCATTTCTCTTTTGGTTTACTTTTACTTGATAGATCTAAGATTTGAACATAACGTAAATTTCAGCAACATATTTCAACAACTTTGAGCACCATTTCAGTACATATTTCAGCAACATATCAGCACATATTTGAGCACCATTTCAACCAAGTTTCAGCAACATATCAGCCCAACTTTGAGCACCATTTCAGCACATATTTCAGCAACATATCAACACAAATTTCAGCAACATATCAGTACAAATTTGAGCACCATTTCAACCAAATTTCAGCAACATATCAGCCCAAATTTAAGCACCATTTCAGCACATATTTCAGCAACATATCAGCACAAATTTCACAAACATATCAGCACCAATTTCGGCATCATTTCAACCAAATTTCAGCAACATATCAGCCCAACTTTGAGCACCATTTCAGCACATATTTCAGCAACATATCAACACAAATTTCAGCAACATATCAGCACAAATTTGAGCACCATTTCAACCAAATTTCAGCAACATATCAGCCCAAATTTAAGCACCATTTCAGCACATATTTCAGCAACATATTAGCACAAATTTCACAAACATATCAGCACCAATTTCAGCATCATTTCAACCAAATTTCAGCAACATATGAGCACAAATTTAAGCACCATTCAACTAAATTTCAGTAACATATTTCAACAAATTTCAGCACCATTTCAGCACATATTTCACATAAAAAAAGGTTAAGGTCATTTCAACATTCAAATTTCAGTACAATCTGCCAAGTCTTCAATATTACATATCCAACAAAAAAGTTTACAAATTTCACAAATTTCTACATTAACATGAAAAGTGTTCAATATTACATATCCAACAGCAGTCTCATCATACATCAAAGCTGCGGCAAATATAATAGTTTCCCTATGATGGTTAAATCCAACGAAAGACGCAAATGGTCTATGTGCACTATTTAACTTGTAAGTAGTGTCGAAAGTGACAACATCACCAAATTGCCCATAATCCATAATCATCTGAGCATCGGCCCAAAATATGTTTGTAATCTGCTCCTCACTATCTAATTGGCCCGAGTAAAAAAAAGATGGATTCTCCAATGTCTTCTCACGAAAATATTGCAAAATGCTACCTGCCTCCCCATATGCTAAACTCTTTTGCCTCTTCGTTCTCAAATAATTTTTTTGGTCCACTTTCGTGAACCCAAGCGACTCCTTTCCACCAGCTTCATTACCCATGAGCTCAAATGCAGCATTAAGCCGGATTCCAGATTTTTCGGCTAAATCTATTTCGATTGCCTGTGATGCAGATATCTTCCTTTGGGATGGTAACATATGCGTACATTCTGTTGGTACAAAAATATGATTATGTTGTTCAACAAACTCACCAACAAAAAATTTATGAATATTCCTATCCCACTTAATGATAAGGTGGGTTTGACAACCAGTCCTCACTTCCTGCCTAGGATTTTTTGTTAATGGATCTCGCTTGTCTATACCCCGAAACCCCTCCTTATTACAAACAAATAGCCTTGAAGTGATTTGCCCCTCCTTGTTCTTGTTTACATAACCCCTTCTAATACTAAACCCCATCCTTCCTCCATAAGCATTATAGAAATTATATGCTTCTTGTTCTGTATCAAATGTCATGTGAACTCTAGGCTTCCGATCACAATCACCCCCGTCATTCTCAACATTGTTAGGTTCCATATCACTGTATACAAACAAATGGGACATTGCACAATATTGATCAAGATAATAGCTAAATTACTACAATTGCACAATATTGAGAAAGGGGTAAGAAAATCAAACTGTAAATTAATACAAACTGTAATTGTAGTAATTTAGCTATTAATACAAACTATAAATTAATACAAACTGTAATTGATCAATATTAGCTAAATTAATACAAACTGTAAATTAAGAAAGGGGTAAGAAAATCAACCAAATGGCTATAACCTACAATTGCACAATATTGATCAAGATAATAGCTAAATTACTAATATGAAATAAAAAAATAAATAAGGTTTGCCCAAAAGCACATCCTATAAATGATGTGCAAAAAGCATAGAAGGGTTATAAACTTATATTTAAACAATACATATACTGAATTCATGACAACCATGATCAACTCAAAAAATGATCTTCATTTTCTTGACAAAGTAATCGTCAAGCTCATCTTTCTCAATCTGAGTAAGGGCTAGTCCTCTTGCTAAGCCAAAACAATGCAAACAAAAAAACAAAAAAATACTGAATTTCAAACTTAATAACAGAATGAGGTACCAGAAACAATCAACTCTACAAGTTTGGAGCTAATCAATAAATCTTTATATTGTAAAATTAACAAGATTTTCAAATGGTGATTAAAAGAAGATCAGCGCCCTAAACACAAGATTTTCAAATGGTGATTAAAAGAGGATCAGTGACGACTAAAAGTTTGGAGCAAATCAATAGTTTAGAGCTAATCAATAATCAATAAATCTTTGGGCCCTACTACACTACAACAGAACTCATAATAAATTCAATCTTCCATGAAGTAACACAATGGCAACCACACAAAAACCTCAAAAGTACATAAAAATTTGAGTCGGAAAAATTCTAGGGATTGTGCAGAGATTGGGGTATATATGTATATATTTGTACAATGTTAAAAGGGATGAATGAAATGTTCCCACACCTCAGCGATGGCGGTGATGACTGGACGACGGCGGCGACGACTGGACGGCGACAACGGTGGCAATGGCTGGGCGACACTTCCGCCTCTCTTCTCTCTCTGTCTTCTTCTCTCTTTTTTGCATTCCCGCCACGTAGCTTTGCTTACTGGAGGGAATGATTTGGGAATTTTGAATCAACTCAAATTTTTATTTATTTTTTTTTTTTTTTTGAAATTACTAATCAAAACGACGTCGTTTTAGTTAGTTACATTCTCAGCCATTGGATCAACACACTTCTGGGATCACTTCAGGAGCAATATTTCAGAGGATCCTGATACAGTTTGTAGTACCTGACCCCATATTCGGTGAAATTCAGGGTGGGCCGATGCCAGGTAGGTTGGAGACTGGTTAGTTTTGTCTTAATACGTGTTATTCAATACTTTTAAAAAAATACTCAATTTCATTTATTAATTAACAACCAGCACATTATTTCTTAAAACTTT